AGGAGGAGGAGGAGGAGGAGGAGGAGGAGGAGGAGGAAGAAGAAGAAGAAGAAGAAGAAGAAGAAGAAGAAGAAGAAGAAGAAGAAGAAGAAGAGAAGGAGGAGGAGGAAGAAGAGGAGGTGGAGGAGGAGGAGGAGGAGGAAGAAGAAGAAGAAGAAGAAGAAGAAGAAGAAGAAGAAGAAGACGATGACGACGACAACGACGATGACGAAGACGACGACGAAGAAGAAGAAGGAGAAGAAGAATAAAAAGAAGAAGAAGAAGAAGATGACAACGACGACGACGATGATGATGAGGAGGAGGAGGAGGAGGATGATGAGGATGATGAGGATGATGAGGATGATGAGGATGATGATGATGAAGAATTGAATTGAATTGAATCAAATCAAATCATACGTCCACGGGCCAAATCAAACACGCACAACCTCCCACATGGGAGTCCCATGCACGCTCAACCAAACGGCTAAACTGATTTAAAAGAAACGTGAGGAGGATAGGGAGGAGAAGGGGGAGTAAGGGCCGTTTCTCATATAGCCCACCACTCGAAATCTGAATTGAACAGGCACGAAGTTGGTTGTGGGGCAGGCAGAGAAGATGCTAGGCCCTAGATGTCCAAGTAAGAAGTGTGCCTGCCACTACAGTCCGCATCCCAACCCAGACACATGTAGCAAAGTTGAGGCATATGCAGAATTTAGGGGCATTTCCCAATACCCCTGTGTTTGAGGGGTATGACAAGATACCCCAACTTCCAGGGGCATTTCAACAATGCCCAGAAAAGAACTGACACACACATCCACCATACGGAAAAAAAAAAGAAAAAGATACAGGGGCGAGGCTCTGTCTATTGGTGATTAAACTGGAGGCCCGGCTGTCCCTGATTGAAACTTTGTGATTCATTGTTTTTTTTTTTTTTTTTTTTGATTCACTGTTTTTTACTAGGGCACTGGGCCCGTTTGACATAAAGACGACCTTCAGATCAATACATATAACGTCAAACAGAGCTCCCCGGTAATTCGTAGGCAGAGAGAGAGAAGAGGACAACAAAAGAGGGGGTGTGGCAAACTGTTCCGTCGGAGTTTCACCGACTCATCAGGACGAACAAGAAGAAAATAATAATCATAACAAACAAAATAAAAATGATATGTTCTTTGTGCTTTTCACTACCTTCCTACCCCTACTCCTGAGACTATATAGAGGGGACCCCTGCAAGCATAGGGCCTCGCAAACGAGGCAAATGATGTTGCCCCCCACCCCAGCAGCGGTAGTCAGAGATGGGGTGGGCCCGCCGGTGGGGGTCCGGCTAGAAGAACATAGTGTAGTTTAAAAAATAAAAAAAATAAAAAATGGATATGTTCTTATAGATAGATAGACGGAGCCGCAACGCAGGGGGAAGGTCCGAATGGCAAATAGGATTGGATTTGGACGTCGATGTGGAGAGGTGCAAAAATTTGCTATTGATCTGCTTTTCTGAATCTCTGCATACATCCGCATTCAGGCGCTGAATCCAATCATCTTTGCTAGTGGGACGTCGCCCCGGGTGTTCATAGGGCAATTAGTGCATAGCATATGCACATCGTCCGCGTCGGATAGTGTACGTCGTCGTCATAGATTGTACGTAGGAGGTCGTGCGTGCATAGGCCGTGCATGCATGCCGTGCATTGTACGTAGGTGGTCGTACATGCATGCATGCCGTGCATTGTACGTAGGAGGACGTTCATGCATACGTGCATGCCGGTCATTGTACGTAGGACGTCGTACATGCACGCATGGCCTGCATTGTACGTAGGAGGTCGTGCATGCACGCATGTCGTTCACTGTACGTAGGACGTCGTACATGCATGCATGCGTGCTGCGCACGTCATCTTTGCACCGACGTACGTCAACCATTTCTCATGAATACACAATCCTCAATAATGCATCGCCCATATCTTTTTTTCTCCCCCGCTTTTTCCGAAAGGATTGTCCATATCAACACGTTGTTCGCGCTGATTGTCACAGAAAACAGCACCCGGGCCGAAGTTCCACCTCGAAAGAGAATTGAATTAAACGCCTGAATCTGGGCTTAAAACCCATCCAGATTCACGAGCTTAAAACCCATCCAGATTCACGAGCTTAGTCCAATCCTCTTCGCTAGTGGGAGCTCGCCGCAAAGAACTCTACACGCGGACGGGAACACATGCCAAAACTTCGCCCCCCCCCGAAAAAACTACAGAAAAAAGAAAGCCAAGACCTTTACAGCCTAAAAAGGAAAGAACACCTTTACAGCCGGTCGACAAGGACGCAAAACGACAAACAGTGGAATAGGGCCCTGAGAATAATAAAAATGTTAAAAAAAAAAAAAGAGAAAAAAGCGTTTAAAAAGGGTTAATAACCAAGACAAAAGTTAAGAAATTAATTTTATTTCTTTTGTGAAAAAAAAAACACAAAACGACAGACAGCTAAAGAAATATACTCCAGAACAAAATAAAAAATAAAAATTTATTTCTCTGGCGGAAATTTCCCTCTACACATCTGCTCCACTGCTCAACGGGTATCATCATCATCATCATCATCATCATCATCATCATCATCATCATCATCATCAAACTGGCCCAGAGAGTTGCGCATCCGCTAACATACAAATACAACTACCTATATATAGTCATATATCTATAACACACCAAGATACAGAGAATCTGTACCAACAAGGTCATGAATATATGCATATACGTCAAATTATATATGCATATATAATACGCTTTGCTCCTACCTTCCTTCCTTCCTTCCTTCCTTCCTTCCTTCCTTCCTTCCTTCCTTCCTTCCTTCCTTCCTTCCTGCCTGCCTGCCTGCCCCCATTCTTTCAATTCCACCCACCACCACGAGACTCTATATATATCGCGCAAATCTCCCACTGCTGCACGTCCTGACGTTCGGAACTAGGACCCCGCAAACTCTATGTGATCCAAGGGTTGTCCATATATGTATATGTATATATATATATATCGTCACATCTATATCTATCCATCAACATATATATCATCAGACAGATATATATATATCGTCGACATATATAGATATGAAGGACCTTCCCAAATGGACTTGAACTCGAGTGAATCAAATTCAAAAACTGATGAACCGACGACAAGTACGTCCTCAGTGAGCAATCGTCGGTAGTGATCAGTACTTTCTAGCTTCGGATCCATCCGTGCAGCCACGGAATCGAACCGGCGCCCCCAGCCATAAAAGCCAAAGATGTCGTCGCTTGGCAGTGCCTGCTGCGTTGAGAAATCGTGTCATCTCCGCGCACGGACGTGAACAATACATAGCCTCAAAGCTCACACCCACACCCAAATGTCTTCCTCCCTGAATGCCTCCCTCCCTCTTCCCTCCCTCCCTCCCCCCCCCCTCCCTCCTCCTTCCCTGATAGATGCCGTACATGTGGCCACTTTGTTGTGTGCCTCCTCACCAAGCGCCTCGCTTCACTACACAACACTCTACATGCATTTGGACGCTTTCTGGACCGGATACGTCCAACATGTTGGATTCGTCAAATCAACGTCTTTCCTAAGAGCGAAGCATAGACCTGTTGGAGTGGTGACAGAGGCAGAGGTTGATTGACTGTGTCCTTCTGGACGTTTTCCATTCCCCAACTCTTCGGACGAGTCCTAGCGCTAGAAGGATCATACCTACTACGCACTAGCAGGCTCGGGATCCCGGCGGCAGCTGATGCAAACAAGATGATCTTCAACAGAGACCTGGAGAAGACTACGAACAACCAAACACCAACTCCTCCTCCTCCTCCTCCTCCTTCCCATTCCGATTGGAGGGAGAAAGGATAGACACGCCATTTGATCCCGTCTGTGCAACTTCATCACATCCGTCGCCAACCCCGTCTTCTCTAGAACTCCTCCTCCTCCTCCTCCTCCTCCTCCCCCTCAGGGAGGGAAAGATAGTCTCCCCATTTGATCCCGTCCAGGCAACTTCATCACATTCGTCGCCGGCCAACACCGCCGTATCTAGTCCTTCTCCTCCTCCTCCTTCTCCTTCTCCTCCTCCTCCCTCCTCCTTTCCTTCTTTATTGAGAGGGAGGGAATGACAGTCTCGACATCTGATCGGGTCTGGGCAACTTCACATTTGTAGCTAACCCCATCTTCTCCAAGGCCTTGATCACATACCAAGTCAAGTCTAACTGCCACCAGTCCAGCCCGTGCCTCGCCGAGTACTCGAACGCATGATGATTGTTATGCCAACCTTCCCCGAAGGCCAATAAAGCTACCCACCAGTTGTTCCTCGACAGATCGCCTGTGTTCCACTTCTGCGAGCCCCAGACGTGCGACGCAGAGTTCACCAGCCACGTGATGTGGTAGACAAACACCGTCCTCAGTGCCACCCCCCATATCAAGTAGGGCAGCCCCCCCCAGGCAAACAAGAGAAGCGATAGGCCCACCAGATGAAGGGGGTAAGTCTTCCTGATAAACTGGTAGAAGGGGTCGTTCTCCATGTCCGCTATGTTTGTCCGCTTTCCCAATCTGCCCTCAATGCGCGAGGCATCCAGCAGCCAACAGATGTGGCTGTGCCAGAAGCCCTCTTTAGGCGAATGGGGGTCCAAGGGGGTGTCGCAATAAAGGTGGTGGTACCTGTGGGAACTTACCCACTCCAAGGGATCACCTTGCATGGCCTGCACACCGCAATAGGCAAAGGTGTACTCCAACCACTTGGGCAATTTGAAGGCCTTGTGAGAAAGATTGCGGTGGAAGGAGAGGGTGATGCCAAACAAGCCAGTGACGACGTAGAGGGAGAAGAAGACGGCGAAAGCGTCCCAACTGAAAGTGAAGGGGGCGGCGAGAGAAGCCACGTGGAGGAGGAGGATGTGGGAGAGGTAGGTGAGGTCCTTTCCAGTCCAGGGACGTTGAAAATAGGCGCGCTCTTTCTTGGCTACCACGTCCGACAACCATATCCGATTGGTGACGGCAGAGTCATCGTCTTCCAAGATGGCCGCGGGAGGCTTCTCCGCGACGGAGTGGACCAAGAACTTCGACGGCGATGGCGTCGAGGAAAGCGGAGAGGAGGACGGGAAGGATGAGCCAGCCAGCCTGGTGATTGCCCACAGGGTGTGATTCAGCCCGTCGTTGAGCGGAGCGGGAGATCCGCCGCGGCGCAGGATAGCGCTGCTGATGCTGCGCGCCGAGCTGTCGGAGAGAAAAGGGAGGGAAGAGGCGGCTACATTGCCCGGCGCACGCCGGACCGACACAGAGACCGCGGGCATCCGCCATTGGCGCGAGTTGGCAAGCTCCGCTGCCGTGTTCGTTCCCTCTCTTACTCTGGCAATGGCTGCCGCCGACGGCAGAGGTGGGGGCGTCGGGGCCAGCTGCTGAGCCCGCCGGGCATCAGCTACGGCCAACGTTGCTCCGATACCACTGTGACAGCAGGCGGAAGACCCACCCGCTTCCCCCGCTCTTCCGCGCCCGGAGAGCTCATCCGCTTTCCTCCGCTCGAGACTTCCGCCGGGCGCGCCCCGCCCCCTGTTGCCGGCGCTTAGCCTAGCTTTCGTTCCGCTGTCGCTCGCGCAGGCTATGGCAGCCACCGTGCCCCGCGAAGCCGCTGCGACGCTTGCCGCAGCCATCGCCTCTGAAACTGTCCCCCTCTCCCCGCCAACTGTCACACACGATCACGAGAGCTGCCCAATCCAAGCTCCCCTCCTTCCACCAACGGTTTGGGCAGATTTGGCCTTACCGGCCCGGAAAGGGTCGGTTTCGCTCGACTCCTTCACCTGCCCAACCCCCCCCCCCCCCCCCCCCCCCCCCCCCCCCTTCCCTCCTCTCTTCTTCCCTCCCTCCCAACATCCCACGCCCCCCCACTGTCTCTCTCTCCCCCTCCACTAAAGGTTCCCTCCCTCTCAACCACCCTCCCCCAACCGCCACTTATTCCCTCCTCTCTCTCTTCCGCCACTCTTTCGTCGGAACCCGATCTAGACAAACCCTCACCCTTGCCAGCCCCTGATTGCCTCCGATATCCGGCAGGCCTTCCTGGCAGGCAATCTCTCTTGCGGATAAGGAACTCACAGTCTACCCCAAAATACACCCCCCCCCAACACCCCCCCATCCCCCCCCAACCCCTCCTTTTGCCCCCTTCGCCCAGATATTAGCACCTTTTCCCCCTTCTAGAGTTCCCCACGTCCCCGCGGACCACGCGCCCGCCACACTTTCGGCTTCACTTCACCCCGCAGTCAGGGCCTCGCCACAACCGAATTGTGAAAAAGTCAAAATGTGGCGGGTCCATCTGGCCATCTTCTAGAGGGAAGTTCATTCTCATTTTGCACATTTCGAGAGTGGTGTGGCGATGCCCTCAACCCACTGCATAAGGACCCCAAAACCGGCTGGTGGTTTGGAATCCCACTACGACTACCTAACTCTCCCCCCAGCCATGAGCAGTGTCATTCGTATACGCAGTGTGTAGTACTACGACGTCGTCATTGCTATGCTAATGGTATTATATCCGGATCTTTCGATTTTTCAATACCGTTAATCCAACAGAAAAGGGAGGGACGACTGCCTTCAGCAGAAATGACCGGTTAAAAAAAAAAAAAAAAAAAAAAAAAACGAGAAATGACCGGTTATCTGGATTTCTGGATTAGTAATTATTCAATGGAATCGGTTCAGACATCCACGGTGGAGTATCATTAGAATACGATTTGTTGAGCTTCATCCATGTGGTTTTTTTTTTGGGAGGGGGGACTGTTCTCGATTTATGCCTGTCATCCTTGCGGAGGGTTCACCCTCGATTCTTAGTTCATGTCCCACAAGCATTCTTGCCTCGTCAGAAATCCACTGAGATTCGGCATTGTTGTTCAGCCATAGCCATCATTCCGAGGACTTTTGAATTCAACCACAGAAGTCCAGGGATGTCCAGCCCTCAACAGGCTTAGGGCCTCGTTCCATACCACTTGAAATGTACGTAGGGTAAAAATGGGACTCTGCATAGCCCTGGTACCTGCAACTGCTGTCCGGTCAAGTCACCCCCGTTGAGATCACTGGAGGGTGACAATCCTGAGTGGTAGACATTTAGGTAGGATTGTGGAAGTGGGGGGTGCGCCACGAAGAATTACAAGTGTGGTAGGTCGGGAGGGAGTCTCATAGGAATAGGGGGCTCCATATGGACCATCGTGATAGCCACATGGCCGGTTACCGAAGGTGACTGTCATATGTCCAGAGTCTGACCTCTACAACTTGAACAACCTCGGCTAAAAAAAAGACGAAAAAAAAATGATTTTAGGGGAAGCATTGTTCTACTGCGCCCTAAGGACGACGAAATGGAAGCCTCCGACGTTTCCACATTTCTGTCCTATAGGGTCCATCCTTTACATCGCCCAAGGTTTCTTTCAAGAGCTTTTCAAATCAGAATGCAAGAGTCAACCAGAAGATCAAAGGAAAAAAGTAATCGATGATTTCCTCACTCCCCTACAAAACACCCTTTCGGAGGAGCAGAAAGAAATGCTCGAGAAACGCCTCGAGGGGTCTGAGAATTGAAAGCTTGTTTTGTTTTTTGGGACGTGCGGATTTGACATGGGCCCCAAAAAAACGGCGCTGCGCTGCGAACAGAGAGGCAGGCCCGCCCGTGATCGCAGAGACGAGAGGCCGCCCTCGGTGTTGCATCGGCACGCGAGGGTCGTCCCTCGGGCACCCGACTCTGTCCCTGTTCCACGGAGCAGCGGCCATAGCTGGCCACAGACAGAGGGGTGCGAGTAGTCGGGATCCCGGTATAGCGAGAGCGCGATCTGAGAGAACTAAAGGAGGCTGCAGGTGACGTGGCAATGAAGAAGGAAGAAGGGACGCACTGACTCGAAGGTGCAAAAAGAAGTGAGGTGGCGGTAATGGGCAGGGAACGAAGGAGGGGGATGGCGTAAGAAGGAAGGAGGCTGGCCTCCATCAGAGCGGCCACACGAGGCGCACATGATCGTTACGCGACAAAGACAAGGAGGGAGGTCTACGAAAGAGGAGAACACCCTGAGAGCAGAGTGAGGGCGGCCATGTGACGCGCCAACTTCCGGACCTGCGCTACCTTCGCGCCCCCCCCTGTTTCTCTGTCTTTTTGTGAAATTTTGAATGACCATCCGACGAGGCCCCTTTTTATATTTTCATGAATATGCAAGGCCCTCGGATCAATTTTTGGAAATTGTCTTTTTTGCAAATTGGGAATTACGCGCGCCTTAGCGAGCGTGCTAGGAATTTGGGTCGACGGTTAGGAATTTCGGAATAAGCGGAATCCGACGTGTCCTTTCTTGTGCATGAATATTCACAACTTTATCTTGGAAAGCTCTGGGAATTTTTGCAGAAATTGGAAGAGGCGTAGGACTTTCCCACGCGCTCGTTTTGCCACGCGGATATGGTATTTTTCAATTTGAATTACTCGTAACTGCTTTGGTGCCTTTTTCGGGCCTCCCCTCCCCGCTTCCCCTGCTGTCCTCGACACTCCCTTCCTTGCGCTCATATTCCTCCCCTCTCTGCAACCGTTTCCCATCTCCCCATCGCCTTGCGCGCCTTTTCTCTCCTTCTTGATCGTTTGAGTCTTGGTTCCGTTTCGCGCTATTCTTCGTGTTTTTTTTCTTCCCGCTCTGATCCCCCTCGTGGAAACACCAGGTCGACCCCCTCCCTCTAGCCAAGGAGACACGCCGTGTAAGAGGAGAGTTCCTAATACACGGCGATTCTGATTGGCTACAGTTGGGATTCAAAGGATCGACATGGCTTTCGACGGGCAATCCCTGAATCTTCTCCTACTTCTCCCTGTTTCAGTCCTAACCCTCTCCCGCAAGCGCTCCCTAAAATCTCTCTCTCGACTCATCAGCCCGCCTCAGGGAAGTCGTGGCTAGATGGTATGAAGGAAGGTGCGAGTCGAAAAGTCCCGACGAGCAGGTTGTAGCCTTGGCGCTCAGCATGGTGGGTCGCCCGACGGACTGTGGGATTCGAGCAGGGCCGCGCAGGGGCTAAGTTGGCGGGGTGATGATCACTATGGTGGATTGGCACGTGACGGCCGGGATTGTCAATGCAAGTAAGACGTTCGAGTCGGAAATGAGTGAGTGCAGGCCCGGGGCCATGGTGAAATTTTATGACAGCAGTGGTTTCTCTCTTTTCTATTCCAAAGTTGTATCTTCGAATATGAGTTTTTGATTGCTCGGCTTTTAAGCCAGGACATCTCTGGGCAAGATCGCCTAACACTCTGTGATTGCTTTTTTATTCCCGTTTCTCCCTCCTTGTATGTGCCCCCATTCTCCCTTCTTCGGTCGCAACATTTCATAATGGATGAATTATGGTGACCTTGTTCCTCTCGCTTCGGTATGTGCATGCAGCGAGCCGTGATTGGGGTTTTTGTTGTAGCATGATTGAAAGGATCATTGGCTGAGTGACTGAATGATCGGGCTGCCTGGATTGACAAACGACTGATGTATGATTAAGATCTATGCTGACCTTTGTTGCCATGTAGATTGACGGTCCCAACCCAACCGGGCACCAACTTCTTGTGCCCCCGCCTCGCCCCTTCCCATACAACAAGGAAAGGACACGTGTATATGAGTGGGACGTACGAGAAGCCGTCGCCAAGATCGGAGGGCGTTACTACTTTCCTCCCGAAACTCGGTGCTCTGGATTTGTTGGTGCGGGTTTTGCTATCATCGATACACACTTTCCGCCATATTCGTTGTTATTGCCTTTTTAACAAACTGATCGTCGTCCCGTGGGCGGCAGTGGAGCCTCATTGGCCTAATACTCTGTGCAGCGATTGTTGCCACATCGAGCATTATCAGACCAAGGGGTTTCACTATCGCACACACGACGAGGACGAACATAAGGAAAAGGCCACTCGGTTGAGGCCCTCCGCGTCGGATTCGGAGTTGTGCAGCGATCGCCGACACGACCCCATCCGAAAACGAGATACCACGTGTGTACCCGCCCCCTTTCACGCAAAACGAAGGGCGGCGGCTCGTTGGGAAGTCCAACGATACTTTTTGGATTGAATTTCCCATAGCTGCGAGTCCCGCGCGTGCCTTTTTTTTCTTAAAACGCGCGCGGTGACGGATCTTCTTCTTATTACAGTCGGACCAACGTGGGGGATTTCAGTTTCGTCTGTGTCCCTGCACTCAATTTTTCAAAAATCCTTGGCACACCCCATCATCGCTACCTTTCCTGAGCCCCTTTCGCAAACCTCAACACTCCGACTGGAAAGTAGTGCAGGGCGTGAGGTTGAGCGTCACAGACAAACGAGGCGATTCAAGCTGGAATACTGGGCAACCGCGATCGGAGCGAAGGCAGACACACAAGGCGAATCGAATAGGTGGTGGTGAGGGAGGATCTGCATGAGACGCGGAGAGACGCATAACGACAAGGTGTAGCGACAGTTCACAGACAAACAACACTCAGCCTGGAAGAGGTGATACCGTTTTTGCGTGGCTGGGAATTGCAACGAAGGCGAGAAGAGCTCTGGGTCTGACTCCCCCTTCCTTTGGGGCCCGGGGTACCTCCCGGTGAAGGAAGGGGAATAACCTGGAGGTAGGTGCTCACCATCGCCTCTCATCTCCCACACGACTCTCTCCCCACCGCGCAACCTCTTTACCCCCCCGGCTCAGATCCCCCCCAATCCCGATCCAATTCCAGTTACTGTTTCACCGCTTCCCCATCCCATCATCCCCTCGCCGTGCAAGCTCCTCACCCCGCCCTCCCGATCTCATCACCCTTGATCCC